TAATGGTCCTTGAATGCAGCATCAGTGTCGCAGGTTTAAAAGGTCACTTTCTGTTGTGTTCAAAGATTTCCTTCGCCTGCAGCGCCTCCGGCTCCCACGCCGCCGCCTCCAGCGCCTCCGTCTCCGGCTTCCACGTCGCCGCCTGCAGCGCCTCCGGCTTCCACGCCGCCGCCTTCAGCCTTGTCTGGTCCGGCTTCAGAGTCTTCAGCCTCATCATCCACGCCGGCTGCAGCCTCATCATCCACGCCGGCTGCAGCCTCTGTGTCTTCGCCCTCAGCGTCGCCTTGTCCAGCGTCGCCTGGTCCAGCCTCCGTGTCTTCGCCTTCAGCGTCGCCTGGTCCAGCCTCCGTGTCTTCGCCTGGTCCTGCCTCGTCTGGGTCTGCAGCTAACTGGCCACTTTCCAGGCCACTGGACAGGCGCCATCGCCGTCGTGGGCGGCCCCCAGACTCCCTTCACCTGAGTCGCCACCGTTGCCTTCTGCACGGTCGGCCCCCTGAACTGCTTCCACATCGCCGCCGTGGCCTACCTCGCGACCGGCCCCCGGACCCCCTTCGCCTGGGTCGCCGCCGTTGCCTTCCGCGCGGCCGGCCCCCGGACCAGTGTTGTCGTCGTCGCTGTTGCCTTCCGCGCGGTTGACCCCCTGAACTGTTTGGACTCCTGTGCTGTCGGCCCCCTGGCCGGCCCCCTGAACTCTTCTGTTTTGGACTCTGTTTTTTGGGCTCCGGTGTATTCTTTTGTTGTTGTTGTTTTTTTGGTTCTGGGCTCGTGTTTTGTTTTTTTTGACTTTCTACTGTTCCTGTTTTGTGAACAGTTTTCTGTTTTGTTTTGTTTTCTGAACCCTCCCGAGGGATTAATAAAGATAAATTTAATTGAATCTAATCTAATAACTTTAATCTCAGCCAAACCGATTTACTCATGAACAAATAAAACACTGAAAAAGCCAAACAATAACATTTTTAAGTTATCAAAGTGACTTATATATCATGTTTAACCTGTGTAGCGAAAGACGGCGGGGGTTTGAAGATGATGTGTCGGTCGGCTCAGATATTTGAAGTATACACAGCTACATTCTCACCTGAAAATATGTTAAGTTTTTTTGCGACTGTTGAGACAACACAGGTCTCTGCAATTTGTTTGGTCCTGGTAGAGGACATCACGCTGAGATGTTTCCATGTTTTACACAATCCCTTTATTACCCATTATTCTTACAGATCCATCTGGAGATCA